CTTTTCTGTGGTTGTGACTAATTCAACTGCATGCCGCTATCTGGGTAGCCTCAAGACACATGCAGTGACTGTCTCCACATGATTTCAGTGGCCCATAGAGCATTTGTTAATAACAAATCCCCAGGCTGGATGGATGTCTAGCACAGGGAGCAGACCTGTGAGAGGCCACAGGTCTAGCACTTCAAAGACCTGAAAAGGCCAAGGCCATCTCTTAAAGCCAGGAGAGAACATGCCATGCTACAAGCAAAATGCTTCAGGAAAAGAACATGAGTATTCTCCCAGTGTCAGGCGCAGCATAAACAGCTCGGGTCACCATAACCAGCCCTTGGGAGCAGAGTAAGTTTCTTGAAGGACTAGCAGCTTCTCATCCTGTGCGCCTGCTTCCCCAGCAGCATAATCATTGGCTTTCTGTTGGAACTACAGCAAGAGGTTTGTGCTATCCCCAAATAATTTTTGATTTCCATCAGCTATGCAACAGCCCTCTTAAACCAAACCCACAGATGCATCTTTCCTAGTCAGCAGTGAGATTGTCTGTGCCACTGGACTGAACCCAGTAAATGCAGAACACATTAGCTTAGCGTTTTGCCTTTGTATCACAACATGCTGTCCCATGACTTGAGCTTTTATTGTACAGTTCATCCATTCTGGTATAGTCAGGCCTTCATTAAAAGCTCCAAAGGGCTGGGTGAAAAAAATAAAGTGTTATGTCCATGTTTTAGAGGGAAAATAAGACAACATGGGTAAAGAACAATAGGTAAAATTCAACACTCTTTGCTCAGGTTTTCTATCTATTGTAATTCCAAGCTTTCTCATACTGAGGTCAATATAGTTCAAAACCAAACAGAATGACAAACAAAAGAAACACTAAGATAGAAACCCATTCCATGAACTTTTTGCATTCAATCCTGCACAAAAAGTTCTGGTGCATGCTTCTTCTGTATCCTAAAAAAGATTTATAGAAGGCTGACTAGAATGATCAATGTCATGGGAATAATTTCTACAGGCAGCAATTAAGGAGGCTAAGACTTTTCCTGACCAGACACCAGTGCAGGGAGCTAGACGAAAAGTTCACTAGATCTGGAGCAGCTTGGAAAGCAGGACTGGAAATGGATCAGTTGCTGTCTCCTCCACTGTAAAAACCAGGAACATAAAACAAATCTAGCAGAAAAGGCCAAAACAAATAAAAGAGGCAGCAATTCTTCATAAGATGTGTGGTTATCAAAAATCATTGCCTTGAAATGCAACAGATTCATAAGGTAACTGAACAAGAAAGAGTTAACTGATGGCTCTTAAACACAAAAGACCTTAAATGGCTGTCAGAATATTTAAAGTACACACCACTGCAATGCTCAGCTTACTCATCTTCAACAACTAGTTTTGGCCACAGTTGGAGACAGGATGCTGCAGAAGGTAGATATTTAGTCTGATTCAGTTCAGCTGTTCTTATGAGCAGCTATCAGCTGGCTTGTCATCAGGCTTTGTTCAGTTCAGAAAAGCTAGATTGTATGTTCAGCTTGGGTTTTTTTTTTGCTTAAGAATTTGGAAAAAAAGATGTAGTTTTGCAGATGTTTGCACTAGTGGTCCTGTACCATGCACCTGAACAAATGAATATGCAAGAGCAATGTGGCCTATGAAAGAGTTTTGAGTTGTCTCAGCTTAAATGAGCAAGGTCCTGCAAGAATAAGGCAGGGCTCTGTACTTTTTAAGTGACCAAGGACAAGGCAAAGGGAGTGATGACGAATAATTACTGACAGAGTTCACAGATGACAAACTAGGGAAGTATTAAGTGATTAAAAAGATAAAATAATTTGTCCTGGGTCAACTGTTCTGTGCCCCAAACAAGACTCCAGATTTCTAGTCATATCTTCAACATAGTGAATACAGATTGAAAATCCAAATACAGGATTTTCTTTTCCCATTTTGAGTAGTGTAGTTTCCTGTGCCCCAGATTTCACAATTCTGCATAAAAGTTACAGCATGCACTCGTGTCAGTCTCATGAGCTCAGCAAGACAAATCCTGCCTCCCCTTCCCCAGAAACAGAGACCAAGTTACAGACCATCATATAAAAAGTGATTCCAGCCAGGCAGGCTTGCGTATTTGTGTTCCAGTATCAGAAAGTCAAGTAATTTTCTCCCAAAGGAACATCAGCTGCAACCTGAAACTTACTGTGCCTGTGAGACCATTTGTGATGTCCTACCTCCAACCAGCAAGATGCTAATTCCTCTACTACCCAAAAAATTTCTCAGAAAGGTCTCATCTTTTCCAGTGAGATAATTGCCAATTTTCTCTACCTGTCTTCCCCGATAAATCAGTTGACCATCATTCTTTGATACTATGGAAATGGATCTGTTCTGTCAGAGCCATTTTCTTTTAACATAAAAAAAGGCCTGCTAATCTGGTATCACTTGAAGCAGAGAGTACAGCTGGAAGTGAAACAAATTTTGACTGCAAGTACCAATTCTACAGGTGCTGTGAACATCATGTTTCTATCCTCTGCTCTTAATCTTCCCTGTAGGCTGGACTCCCCTTTCTAGGGTGTTCTACAGTATCAAACCAGCTCAACTGCTACAGCAGAGTCCTGAGAAAGTCTAGTAAGAGAGGCCAACGAGGTGGAGCTGAACTACAAGTTCTTAAACCAAGAACACAACACAAAACCAAAACAACCACTTTTCACTGGAAGAGCTACAAGATTATATTTGTCCTTACAAGTTTCTTTGATCAGAAACCCAGAGATCCGTCAAATCACAATAATATCTAATTCTTTGATCTTTCCACTTTACCTTTTAGAAGATGAAAGGAAATCGCTACCCTTGTAGGCACAGAGTGTGGTGCAAGTATGGGGGTACAACAGCCATTTATTTTACTGTAAGAACCCCTAGATCAACCTAGATTAAATGAAGCCTTGGCTGTGCTCTAGAAGACTGTCTCTTCCTCTGTCTCAGCCTTATTTAGTAATACCTGGCCTTGAAGAAGCAATCACAAATCATTATGGATTGACAGGGTTTTCCCTTCCCACTCCTCACCCTTTCTGAGAACAGCATGATTTCTGTTCAAGCTTAAGCATCTTTGTCCTTTTGCTCAGGTGTCTCTGCATTTTTCCTCTATTCCCACTCTCATATTTCACCAAGCATCCAAGCCCTCTGCTGGTTAAGTGCTGTGCTGTGTCCCAGAATCACCCTTTCCAAATTCTTTCCCACTAAGTCATCCAGCAAAATACAGAGAGCGCCTGTTACAATACCACTCCACCCTGAGTGCTAGGTAGTCTTTCTTCTGCTGTGGAGCAATCTGCCTGAAAAGTCTTCTCCAGTAAAATTCCTACTCCGAGGATGGAAAATTTCAGGCACAAACTTTCAAAAAGTTACAGTGAAATGAAAGCAGAGGAAATTAACAGAACCCGATGTACTATTTTGGAAACCCTGACCCTCAACATAACTTCTTGCCAAAACACACTTCTCACAAAAATGTTATTTCCAAGCAAGTTGACATTGCCCCAAACATTTTTCTGTCACAGCTCAGACTAATCCAAGAACATTAGCATTCTTTTTTAGTTGCCTTTGGGCTTTTATTTATCACATTATAGATATACAAAAAGACTTGCAGAGCTGAAGCTTTTTGTATTTGCTTTCAAGACCAGAATTTAAAGTGATTATAATCAATTTGTGTTAGGAGAATCAGCATTAGAAGAGAACATTGCTTAGAGTCAGACACTGATTCTCTTCCTCCTCCTTGCGTTGTTAACTCAATCTTGTCCGTTCAGCCCACTGTAAATTATTCTGACCAAAACCACATTGCATATAAAGTCTGGCCTCAGCAACAGTGGAAAGATTTAACAGAAGCATCTGAAGATAACAAAATCTGCTTTCTCAATATAATGGTTAGTATTTACCAGAAAGAAAAATTTGAAGTTAGCATAACTCCTTAGTACCTTTTTATCAGTACCAGGAAAGCATCTATTTTGCAAATAGTTTAAGACCAAGTGCATTCATGGTGCTATTTAAATGTAACTGAGTTCCCTTTAAGGTATGCTATGCTATGCAGTTATGGAATCAGAATCCTACCTTACGTTTACCAGTTTTGGGTGGTCATGCATTAACAGTTCTGTTATCTCCCTTCTTTTACCTGTTCAGAAAGAACCCTCTTTCTGCCAGGCCCACACAGCCTCCTTCAGAGGACAGTTCACACTCTAGATCAACTCAGACCTTGGAAAAAATTTACAAGAACACACAAGAAAATCACCCCAACGCTAGCCACTGTTTTTCCAGGTGCCCGAATTTAGTTTCTGAATAATCTTAAGTAGCTCTCAGAAGGCAACAACCTTTACCATTGTTTAAAACTACCTGCAAGTATTGTGAAAACCAAGGAACAAACACACCTCAAATATCAAAATTTAGATAAGCCTACTTTTCTGTCCTCCCAGAACAGAACAGCAAGTTTCTGATCTGCTAGCTCATGACACAGGAGTTTCTTGGAAACCCATGTTTACCTTATGTGCAAATGGTTGCTTGTACAAGTAGAGCAGCCTTTCCTGCATCATGTGCTGCTTGCTTGGAAAGGGCAAGTTTTCTACTGCTTACGTAAACAATCCCATAGGATTCTGAGCAGGCTTAATGTCTTCAACTGAGTAAGTTTTCTACGAGCCAAAATATACCATCACTTCAGTAAAATAAAAACATTAGTACATTAGCTGTCAAGATACATCAAACCAGCTCTAAGGAGAGGCTCAAGCAGACTCATCAATGGCCATCAATGGTTCATCACACTCAGGTGTTCTACATGTGCACTAGCATGATAGCAGGAAAAACTTAAGATGAATCAGATGATTTCTTGGGGGACAGTAATTTTCTTTACTCTTGTGTACTGTCTGGAGACAGCTGATATAATACAGCTACTCCAGCATTACCACCATTAAAGCAATGCTGAAATAACCATCTCATTACACACAGTAATGAAACTATATTTTATTATAAGCAAAACCAGCTCTTATCACCAAGAAACTAGGACCTATACACTTTTCAAAGAGCTACCCATGTAGAGACTGCTGTACTTAGAAATCAACTTTTACTTCTAATTAGAGAAAAAAGCATGGAGTGTTACAAAAAGAAACAAAACCAAACCCAAAAGTAATCAGAAAAAAGCAGACCTCACATTAATTATGTAAAATCTGCCATATCCTGGTCCTTCCAGACAACAATAGTCACTAGCTCCAATTCACAGTATTCCAAAATAAAAGCAACTGCTAGTTCGAATTTTCTCGATCTTTTCTGCTTACCAGTTCCAGACATGCAGTTTGGCAAAGACAATCTACTAGTCCACACAGTGCGCTCTTCAGAACCATTTTAGCATTTTCTTCTTCCAAAAAAGAAAACAACAGGAAGTCACAGAGTACATATACTGCATCTTTGTGGGGGAAAAAAGAAAAAACAAAAAAGGGGGTCTGATCCAGTGAGAAAGCTATGCAGGTAACTCATAGGCAACAGCAGAAGCATATCTGAGAAGTCTGGAGAAAGGCAGGAAACCATCTTCAGTATTCTGCATTGAAAGGGTACTCCTTGTAAGTTTTGTACCTGAAGGAAATCAAAGAGAAAAGATTACCTCCTGTCTGAAAAATACTATATGCAGCTGTAATCACTGTAAAGGGCCACCAAGGGAGGAGCTGAACTGTATGAAAGCAATTTGTTTCTGTCTTCCTTGGTGACATGCTACATTGGTCAACAGAAAGATTCTCAAGTGCCTTCTGTTGTTTGGGTTCTGACCATTTCAGGCAGCACGACCTATGTGCTTTGCAGACAACTAATTCACAGCTTCACCATTTACTGCCAGGAAGACTTTTTTGCAGCCTTCCAACAAAGATTTCAGGCTTTAGGCTTTCAAGTTGCAAATCTTTGTACCACTTTTTGAATGTTCACCCACTTTCCCAACCACTCCTGAAGAACATACAGTCAGTTTTTATAAAACACCTAAAGATTATGGCAGAAAGAAAATAAATTCCACAAGCAAAACTAATCAAGAATTTGGGTCTGCATCCTGCTCATTTCTCCAATATGGACACAACAAAAGTGATGAACAAGAAGCCTCCTGTGCAATTCCAGCTACAAAAAGTTTCTTGGAGACTGAACTGAAAATGAACATGAAGTTTGCTTTATGCTTATCATCATTTGGTTCATAACATGAACATTTAAGATCTGACTCTGAAAGTTATTCTGAGGATGACCCCTTTGGGAAATTGAGTTTGCATATCCTGAATTTCAACCAAGCCTAGTATCTATAACTTCACAGACTAAATTATGAATACGGATAACTTAACAGCTTGAAAAAAAACCCCACTGCCACTTACGTGAGCATTGCACAGACTCTCCAGTTTCTATTAAAGCTGAGAATAGTTGCCATCTCCTCTTTTGTCAATTCGAAGTCAAACACCTAACAAGAGAAACAGCTGGAAATCAACTCTCTGAACAAATCAGAGATTGTAAGCAAAGTTCACAAAATTAAAGAACAAGTCCACAGCGTAAGGGTGCTTGCTAGAAGAAATGACTGCTTCATGAAGGAGGGAACAGAAAAAGACAGCTGTCTGGATTTCTGAGACTACACTAGGTGGAGTTGGGGAGGGAGGTGAGCAACAACAGGGAGAAATTAAAAAAATCTCAAGTTGTAGTTACATGTGCCAGTTGCTTTAAGAAGCTTGCCAAGTACTTAGTGTTGCAGGATGCCTCAATTTGCAAAAGGCGTATCCTTCTGTCCTGTTCTAAAGGAACATCTACTAGACTTTCATATTTCACCTAATGCAACTAAGTGTCTTCCAAAATCCTAAGAGTGGTTTCAGTCAAGGACCACTGAATCAAGAGCAGCAACATGGTTTATAGACACCAAGGACTACTTTCTTAACAGTGCTTGCTCAACATAAGCCTTTTGTGGCGTGCTACTGTACTCAGGCCCCAAGCAAGCTCTGTCAGCCAACTTCATCCACATGACAAACCAGGAAGCATCACTTTAACATGACTGCTAAGATTATCAGCATACTCTTTCCAAAAGCTTTTTTTGCTCCTGCTCTTCAACTGTAACCTTAACCTTAGCCCTCAGTAGACCATAAGTAAACACACAGAGAGAAGAATTCCAGTCCTCTTGTCTGAGGAGGACTTGGGAAGGGTGAGAAAGGATTGCCGCTTGCTCTGCAGGGGGCAGCAATGCCATCCTTGAACATGCCATGCACCTGGGTCACTCGTAATCACTCACCTTGAAGTTCTCCACAATGCGCTGTGGTGTGACAGACTTGGGAATCACAACCACATTTCTCTGGATGTGGAAGCGAATGAGAACCTGCAAGAGGCATTTCACTGAGTCAGAGAGAGGACGGCTTTTGTTCAATGGCAGGCAGAGCCTGTTCCAACCGTTGTTTGCTGTAAACTGTATATTTAAGCAGGATTGACCCATTTCTGCAGAGCTGCATTTCAAGTCATACCTGAATTCTAAACAGCACTTTCTGAAGTGCAAATACAGAAGTGGTGGAGCCCTACGTAGAAGGCCTCTTTTCCCTTTCAGTTCAGTGATACTCTGTTCCTTACTTTCCCACCTAGACTTTTAGTAGGCTATACAAGGAAGGGTTCACTTTTCTGTAACAGGGCTTCAGATGGAAAGGCTGAAACATGACAGCATCTGAAGATGGGTCAAGAAAATGTTTCTTATTGACGGTCAAAGAGCCCTTACAAGCACACATTGAAGGCTACATAGTAAACAAACCTGCATTGCTACTTAACATCACAGAAGAGCACCACGGTTGACAAGGAATGAAGAGCCAGCCTGTCCTTTGCATTGTCATTAACTATCCTTTATGCTGCGTTACAGGAGGGGGTACCCGCTGTCTGGCACCTACGTACCTGTGCTGGTGTTTTGTTGTGCTTGGCTGCAATCTCTTTGATCTTGGGGTCATCCAGAAGGGAGGGATCCTCTGGCTTAGCCCTACACAGACAAAAGATCAGTGGTAGGAAACCTCCACAGATACATCCTTGCGGAGATCTGGATGAATAATTAATGGTGCACTTGTAGTCTTAAAGTTTCAAGCATAATCCACGCCAGCTCCCTTGCAAAGCACAAAGCAATCTTACCATGGTCTGTCAGGAGAGCCAAGTGGACTGTATGCTGTCACAGCGATCCCTTTGGATTGACAGTACTTGATGAGCTTCTCCTGGGTAAGGTATGGATGACATTCAATCTGTCAACATAAGAGTACAAAGTTTGACAGTGATTTAACTGATTTATTATGTTCCAGGGATTAGTTTTTCATCAAATCATTTTGTTCTAACTTATAGTCTCTGTGTGATATTACACAGCCTCTGTTTTCTCATGTCCACACCCCCTTTCTACTATTTGTAGTAGTTCTTACAGTGAAGGGTCCAAGGACGGTAACGCCACTTCTTAAAACTTTGCTGATCCACATAATTTCCAACATATGGGATCACCAGCTACATAATTGCTTAAATGGGACAGTTCAGTAAAATGCATACACAAGAGAACTGTAAAATAATAACACGAGAGCACACCAGTAAGTACAAAGTTCTCTTCTTATCCCTAATTAAACATGCTTTTTTTTTTTTTACAACTGCCATATTAGCTTCAATACCAGTATAATTTAACTCGTTTTTATTTGCTTTTTGTCAACACTCACACTGAATATCTCCAGTCTGCAAACAGTGAGAATGATTAACTGCTACAGATTTTAAACTTTCAGCTTACTGTCCACATAGACATTTTATAAACGCATATGTGCTTACCATGAACTTCCATAAGAATATCTACATAACAGAATACAGACTCTTTAACAGTGGATCTGTATTCTGCAAGCTAATGCATGGACATGCAGTATGGAACAGGAATTATTCAATTATCAGGAGGCAGTGAACGAACATGAGTATTTGATAGTTTGCATAGAGGGACTTTCAGGATAGTTCCACACCAGGGAGCACAACTTTTCTTTCAGCAGGCAACATCAAGCACCTTTTTGACTACAGTGTCATTTGAGCCTTCTTGCAGCCTGCTGCTGCATTCTGAGGGAAGTCCCTGGAAACTTGTGCTTCTGGCAAGTAGAGCAAGAGAGTGCAAGACACAAGATCAGCTTACAGCCTCGAGTGCTTTATTTGTGGTTCTAACTGCTTGCTGTTATCAGAAGCCTGCATGGCTGTTTCCCTTCTGGAGCGTACTGGAATATTAGACAACACGACACACAACTCAATTTTTTGGGACAGATTATACATACTTATTTTGCTTCAGCAGCTCCAGAAACACAGCTACTCAAGAGTAACAGAGCATCTGGTTATTTTTTCAACTATTCAGTAGGTAGAATTTATGCGATGTAAGCGAGGCAAAGTCATCCTTACCTGTCCACTGGCACTCAAGCTGAAAGACTTCTGAGCTACATTATCTAGTCTTTCATTTGGACAAAGGTGAAAAGCCTATGATGTACACTTAAGCAAGTATCTTAAGCTATTGCAATCCACACTACATGATAATGACCAAGCATTTAAAAGTCAGATTTCATTACTGAACTAAGTACTAGTATCACTGTAATGTAATTACTGCCTTGCCAAATTAATTTCTCACCATGAATGAAACCAACATGCATACTGACTGCATTCAAATTAAGAATGGAAGTGACACCAAATATGGGGTATTACCGGACTACACATGAAACATCTGCACAGAGAAAGTGTTTGCAGGAAGCACTATCTATTAGGCGAACTGGTAAGTGTTAATAACAGACAAGCTTTCAGGCCTGCAAGCATTTCTTCAGAAACTATAAATTTTGAAGGACAGAGACCAAGACCCATTGCTCTGAGCTCAACTTGATTACAGTAATCAGAGAGCCTGAGAACATTTGCAAGTGAGAGACATAAGGCCAGTGACCTCTGTGCAAGACATAATTATCAACTACGGTAATAATGGTAGTGAGGTGCGGCAGACATCAAAAGGTAACATAAGACTTCCACTAAGTATCCCAAAAAGTACATAGGACTGATAATGAAAATACACAGTAGAGAATTATGAATTTTGAACTTGTCAGAATGTTTCAGTTTTATGTTGAATAGACTTCCAGAGAACAATCCTATTAGCTTTCTGAAAAAAGGTGTTACAAGCCCTTTTCAGTACATATGCTCAAGCTACCACAATAAATTAACTAGTTCTTGTAATTGGGTATCAATAGCAGACCTTCAAATGCCATAGCAATCAAGGACAAGTCTAGATAGACCCCACAGGGGTCTATCCTGGGACCTGTCCTCTTCAACTTGCACCAGGCTATAACCTTGTCAAGTTTGCAGGTGATGCCAAACTGAGGGAGGACCCATCAATACACTCAAGGGCAGGGCTGCCACTTCAGAGGGACCTGCTCAGGCAGCAGGAACAGGCCAACAAAAACTATGAAATTCAACAAGGCTGCACATAAAGCCCCGCACCTGGGAAGAAAAAGCCCCTGGCAATAACACAGGCTGGAGTCTGCCTGCCTGCAAAGAAACTCTGCTAGAAATGACCTGGGGGCCATAGTAGGCTGAGCTGAATATAAGCCAGTAGTGAGCCCTGGCAGCAGGAACACAGCCAGTAAGTTGTGGGAAGCGATCATCTGCCTCTACTCAGCACTTGTCAGACCACCTTTGTAGTACTGTGTCCAGTTTTCCCCCTTCCTAGCCCCCTCAGTAGAAGAAAGATTGACAGACTGGCATGAATTCAGCACAGGGCCAGCAGGGTGGCTAGGGGCAGGAGAACCTGCTGTATTGGGAAAGGCTGAGGGAGCTGGACTTGTACAGCTTGAAGGGAAGGCTTCAGGTCTCCTAGTAGCAGTAGTACATGGTGGGAGGACAAGAGACAACAGGCACAAGTTGGAACAAGAGAGGTCGAGACTAGGTAAGAAAACTCACTCCCTCCCTCGTACACCCATGGCAGGGGGTCAGGCAGCAGAGCACGCTGCCTAGAGAGGCTGTGCAGTCTCCATCCTTGCACGTTTTCAAGATGGATAAAACCCTGGTCTGATCTTGCAGCTGATGCTGCTCTGAGCTGTGAATTACAGATTATTTCCCAAGGTCTCCTGTCATCTGAATTCTCCTAAGATTTTAGTCAAGTGCTGTCTATACACCTGGACACTTCTACTCTATGACCTTGCAACTCCATTTCCTCCTTCCTCTCAACCCTCATTAAGTCTGTAATCAGTCCATAAAGCATATTTCTCTTCAGTTCCCAGAGTTACCAGAAACAGGAACAGGTCTCTCCACTGAAGAGTTGGGAAAAGGTCATCCAATTCTGTTAGGTCCTCATATATATACACTAAGTTTTACTCTACTTCAGGGTAGTTTTAAAGCTCATCTGCCCTTCCCCCCTCTCCAAAAAAGGCATTCTGGAGCTGCTCCTTGCTAGATTTCTAAGCAATATTGCAGAAAGTCCATAAAACAAACCCAGCATCTTGTGCATCCAGTAGTTGAATGGTGGGATTAAGAGAACATGCTGCATCTACTCCATTCTCTCTTTCTATAACCTCATTTCAGAATCATAGAATTTTTTGGGTTGGAAAAGACCTTTAAGATTAAGTCCAACCGTTAACCTAGCACTGCCAAGTCCACCACTAAACCATGTCCCTAAGCAACAGAATCATAGAATAAGTAGTTCTTTAAAAAAATTAGCAATTCTTCAGAAAAAAGCCAACGCACCTAAACATTTGTCTGCTGTCCCTTAGCAGCTTACCTGGTTATTTGCAGGCTTGTATTTCAGTCCTGGCTTGTTCAAGATTCTTTCAATCTGCTCATGGTTAAAGTTGGAGATACCAATGGCTTTTACCAGACCAGCATCCACCAGCTCTTCCATGGCCTAACAAAAAGAAGCACAAAGTCAGCATCTAGCATACATTACAGGGCCTGAAGAACACCATTCTTCCTGACATGGCTGTTTCCTTCATGAGAAGCACAAAATAAGCATTTGGCTTTTTGGAGTTCAAGCTGAGGAAAAAAACAGAGCGCTAGTGTATTTGTGCCATGTTTCCCATTTCACCAAAGCTCAAAGACTCATTCTTTGAGACTGGAAATTCACAGCAAGGTACAAGTAGAAAATAATGATACCAAACAACCCACAATTGTATCAGTGACTCCTTCCAAGCAGTTCTGCATACATGAGACAATTTAGACTGGTGAAGGTAATGAAAACATAGAAGAGACTGCTGAGTACAGAAGACCTGATTCTCCTGCTGTGGCTAAACTTACCTCCCATGTATGTAGAATATCTGTGTTGCTGGGTATTGACACGCCTTTCTCATCTGTGGGAAACAGCTCCTCCCCTGCCTGTCAGCAAGAAAGAAAATGCTTGAAACACTCTTTGCTGAGAAGTCAGGTTAGCACCAACTGAAGACCATGATACTACAAACTCCTACTGCAGGACATAGTAATACTTATTATCCACATACAGATTAGAGAATACTAATATTTATTATCTACACTCTTCAGTCTTTTCTTTTGCTTTCATGTGGGATTATAGGATTTTTGCCAGCAACCATCCCAATAATGACAGGTGCTTCTACTGGACTCAACAATGTTCTCTGGTTCACCAATATACATATGCAGAAAACAACTCTCCCCATGTAGAACTAAAGCCAGTTTACAAGTTTACTTTCCATATTACAAAAATACACAGTTCTTACATGGACATAATGGACTGTTTTATTAATATGTGCAATAAGGACCCACTTTCGACCTGGAACGTGTTCAGTCTATATTGGACCAGATCTGCTGACAGGTCTTTTCGCAGGGAGCCTCAGTGCTTAAGTTGCTGGCATAGGGAATGTTAAAACAGCTTGTGTCCCAGTTAGGACTACATGCCAGGTGTCAAAACCAGTTGTTTTCTACTAATAGATACATTATTACACCACAACACATTTTCACTTTACTAGTTCTTTCCATATGAAACTAATTTTAAAATTACAGATTCTACAAAAAGCGATTGATCTCAGAAGCAACAAGTAGAAAGAAGATTTTGATCAGGTTCTAACAGGAAGACTAAGCTTAGAAATATTCAAACTGAGACATCAGTTCCTTTGCATGCAGTCAGTAAGAGTTAGGAACTAAAAAGCTTCACCTTTTGAAATCCAAGGTCTGTGGAACACTAAGGCTCCTACAGCAAAGGTCAGTTCAATCTGTACTGTATTAAAGGACTCAGTGATTAAAGACAGAAATGGAAGACAGAAACATTCTCTTGTTCTGTGATTCTGTAACATGCAGAGGAAAGAATTTCTGTCAGACAGCAAAGTACAGCCCTCCTTCCCACAAAGAGGGAACCACATCATTGTCAGCTGAGCATACTCTGGATTTGTGGAAGACAACAAATAGGCAATAATCAAAAGGAGAGCAATATAGCTTATGCTTGCAGCAGGGAAACCCGCCTCTAGTTCAAGGTCTACCCCTTCCACAATTAAAAGGGCAGAGGGTACTGTGCAAGCAGGAATCCCAGATGTAGTGATCAACGGGCTGGGTCACATGGCCATGGCAAAGCTGAACAGCAGAGCAGTGCCAGTACACACAACAGACACATGATGATCTGTGTCAGTTGGAGCAATTACTGGGCTGTAAAGCCATATAGCTCTTCAAAACTGCCCATCACAGCACAGAAAGCCGAGGGCATTGCTGCTACCGTACCTTAAACCCAAGAGGCCAGTGGATGAGGTAGAGATCCAGGTAATCCAGTTTCAGGGCAGCAAGAGTCTTCTGGCAGCCTCCCTTCACCAGATGCTTGTCATGAAACGTACACCATAGCTAGAGACAAAAAGCCAAGGCATACTGTCACTTCCTAGGGTAAACCTCTTGGAACCCTTCTGTGCTGTTCAGGAAAGTGCCTGTCCTCTTTCGAAGGTGATGTCAAACCAGGTCATCCTACTGATCTTCAAACAGAGGGGGCTTGGTCTGTGAGCAAGGCTGGCCCACGATACTGAGGGCAGTATGTGCAGTGGCAGCACACAACTGAATGGGGTCACGGCAGACAGCAGAAGTAGTCTAGTTCCATTAATTAAGACTTCATTTAAAAACTACCTACTAGATGGTCAGATACCACATGAAAGAAGACAGTGTAACTGCATGCCAGTAAAAGTTCAAAGCATCACCCATGCCCATAGTACATACCCTGCATAATCCTCCATACAGTATGAGGCAGAGTAGGAAGCTTGTCTCAGGAGTGGCCTAAATGATGTTCTGAATTGTTCCATGCTACACCACAGAATAGCAAAGTAAAGAACTGGGGGGTTACTATGAAAAAAACAGGTGTCTCCCAGGATCCTATATCACCAGATCCATACCTTACTGACAATGAAGAGATCCTCTCGTTTCACAACACCTTCCTTGATTTTTTGCTGGATGCCATCCCCAACTTCATTTTCATTTTGGTACACATATGCACAATCAAAGTGACGGTACCCAGCATCAATAGCAGCCATCACTGCGGCTGTTACTTTCCCTGGTGGAGACTGAAAAAGTAATATCCAAGATACTCTACTCAATATATATATTCAAGACCTTTTTCCTAGCAAGATAGAATTAAGAAAGCCACCCCACCCAAAGCAATCTCCCGATTAAAATAAAGCAAAAACCACAAGCAGCATCAAAAAACTCCCCAGTTTGCACACATCTCGAGCACAGGCTCCTGAGCCCAAAGCCAGCCCCCAGCCGTTCCTCTGCCACCCCACTCCCAGGCAGGGCTCAGCCCAACAGCTTGGCAGAGCAGAGGCCCCAACACCAGGGCCGTTCTCCAGGGCCGGCCCAAGGCCTCCTCCCTTCCCCGCAGCGCTCCTCAGAGGGGAAGCCCCCAGCAGCTGCCAGCC